CGTCTTGGCCTTGTCCCTGCTTGGGAAATGGGCCCCACAGCTCAAAACATCTCGGAGCCGACTGTTTGTTCTTGGTGCTATATGGCCAACGTAGAGGAACGCTCTGTCTCCAGGGTCCCTATCGGTGTAAGAGATCCTATTACTGACATTTTAGATTACGGCCTTTATGGGTGGGGGCCCTTAATATGGTCTATATTCAGCCTTCGGGCCTTTCAACCTTTCAATCGGGCCATTGATCTTTGCCCTCGAGAGACCATTCGGCCCCTCTTCGGGCCCTCTCAAACGTCACTCCGACAAGGATCCACTTGCCGTCACAGGACCCCTATCAGGACGTATGGCCCCTGATTGTGTCAGGGGCCCGAACATTGCAAATCGCATGCCGCGACCTCGTTCCTGTTTGGAAAGTTGGTCTCAAGGGCTCAAACAGACTTGGAGCAGACTGTTTGGCGCTCGTGGATCTGGCCAGATTAGACAGCTGCGCAGCACTGGTGGTGTCTGACCGACATATAGGCCCATATCGACTCAAGGGGTCCCCGATCGGCACCAGTGGCCCCCTAACCGTTATTTGAGGGCTCGTCCCCGCAAACTGGCCCCCCTGAGTACGGCTCAGACCAGCATATCATGCCCCTAGACCCCCCAATCGCCCCCTTGATCATCAGACCCGGTGAGCCCTCTAGAATATTCGGGCCTCCTCGTACACTACCTCTGGCAGACTCGGGGCCCCTTGCCAACACAGGGCCCCTGTTAGTGGCTGTGGAGCCCTGACAGACGCTGGAGCCTCGACCAATATGAATTGCTGGCTCAGTTGTGTTCCTGACTGGGAAATGGTCCCGAAGACCCATGCTGTCACAGAGGTGGCTTTGCGTTACTGGTGGTGTCTGACCGACATATAGGACCTTATTGACTCAGGGACCCCCTGATCAGCACACAGGGTTGTCTGGCTGGCACTGCAGTGCTCGGTCCTGCGAGCCGGGCTCCTGAATGCGACCTCCGGCCGGCCCCTCAAACCTTTCGGACCCTCAAATTGGGCCCTTAATCGAAAGTTCACAGAGGCCCAGAGGGTCCCTCGGAACTTGGTGGAGGAGGCACGTGCTTCTTGTGCATCCCCCCTGCCTGCGCTTTTGGTCCACACATTAGACATCTCTATTGATTATCTTGTTTGACGGTATTTGGTAATTATTTTGCTCTTTTGGCATGTCATTTATACCCCTCTTCCTTCCGAATGTTATTAACTACATTGCTGATTTCTTACCATACCATAGTCACAATATCGTGAAAACGATTAGCGATTATCGCTACAGCGTTGCGAGCATTAATGGCGAAAACTAAGACTATCGGCACAATAAATCCGCGGAATTTTGATTCGGTGCTAAATAAGTTTATTGCGATAAACCACATTTAATTAGAGCTATTTTGCTGACGCACGCTGTTCTTTTTTTTTGTTCCTTGCTGCGCGTAGAATGCCACTTTGGCTGTTTTTTATTTTAAAAAATGAGGGGCACCACTTAAAAAAACCGAAGTGGTTGGCCATGTGACTTAGCATTGCCTTTAATGCTTCAATAATAAAAACAACTTATGCCCCGTATGCCACTCTCAACGCCTTTCCGTTGTCGTAGTGTTAACCCGTCGCCCATGGCGACTGATGGAATGGTCAGCAAAAAATTAAAATGCTGCAATCCGTTTAGCAGCTCACTGATTCGCGGTGAAAACGAAATATAAATATGTAATGGAAGACAATTCAACATACTTAAGTTAAAAGAATAGAATAAAAATCTACATAACAACCCAAAAGCTTCACTTTTATCCGAAGAGAGGCATTAAAAAGACTCTAAAGATGAACTCTCGGTGACGTCATTTGGCCAGATCGTGTAAACACGTGTGGAGGCACTGGGAAGACGACGGCCTGAGCCTGCGGTGATACGTTTGAGTCTGGAGAGGGTGCCGGCGATTTAGGTGAATGTGACGATGTGTATAGCCTTCCGTTTGTATTTTACCTTCTTGTGTTCTTATAATCTCACCTTCTTTCCAGGAGATAAATGTGTGACCGTTTATGAAAGTTTACGTCTGAATAAAAGGATTGGGGGGGACGTCGGTTTTGGGGCGCTGTTGTGGGAACAGGCTTCTCACTACTGTTGCACACTCGGTGTCTCTTAAGGTCCAGCGTCATTGGGAGAGGTGCTCAATGCTCATTGGGGTATTTTTGGAACTAAGCTTTGGGATGTCATTGGGGCTGAGCAGAGAAGGTCTTTAAACCTACTGCAAGCAAGAGTTGTTTTCTCTCTGAATTTGGCCAACATTTTTCTCTGAGTTGGTCCTCCTTGCAGCTGAATAGGAAATTGCACCCGGGTCCTGCATGAAATAGGTCTAAGTAAGTAAATGAGCCTTGTTTGGTATCATGTCCCTGCAGTCAAGATGGATACTTCCATGGCTGGTACTACTATCCACCAGTACTACCCACTAGTGGTCAGCTGAGCTATCCACTTAGCTTGATTTGTTTTTATGGGTATTTAGGTGTCTTGCATGGCATTTCAATGGCAGCATTATCATGCTGTGTCCCGGGGCACAGTATTCAGTATGTATTTCACAGGTGCACAGCATTTCAACATGTGTGTCAATCTGCCTGTTAATGTCAGTCTGTATTGTGTGCAGGGTATTTTCAGAAGCTTTTGGTAAGTAGTGTTCCTACAATGGCAATTACTTTTAAATTGCAAATTCACCAGGAATATTTTGTATTATTGCAAGCTGTGGTAATAAAATTTTTCTTATTTTCCAATTATGTTAACATCACAAATGCACTAGGGATGCTTTGTTCTTATTATGAGCTATGATTGCAAATAATCTGTTCTTGCCCTCCAAGAGCTAAAACCAAATTTCAGATACTTGTTACATTTGAGGCTGAGGTGGTGGCATGAGTAATATGTATGGTGAAACAGGTCCGGGAGAAGGCATAAATATTCAGTTTGAATTGAGTCCAACAGTGTCAGGGTTGGCATGGGCACAGACATTTTGGATATCCTTGGATAGCCTTCTAAGTCCAGCTTATGGGTGGGATGGACTGGACTGCAAAGATGTGTGTCAGATCACTGCAGCAATAATTTCATTATGTTTTTGGTGCAAGTTTTGGTGATGGTGAGTTTAGTGCATGGTCACTGCCAATTTCACTGGATAGAGGGCCAATGTTTCAAGGAGCTGTGATGTTGCAAAGGTAATTTTATGCAAAAACACTCAGCACTTTTTTGTGTTAGCAGTTTGAAAATTCAGTGAAATTTGGTCTGGTCTGAGTTTAGCACAAGGAAACAAAGGTTCACTGCACTGATGTGTGTCACAGTGGATGGACTTTTATGACTGAGGAGTGAAGAGGGGTTTCTGATGGATGTTCAAGAACAGTTCTCCTGTGACTCAATCAGTTATTTTGGCATATGTATGAATAGTCTTGAAGTAGCGCTAGGTGCAGCCTTGTCCACCTTTCCACCATCATGTTATTCATTTACCACTGAGCACAACTTTTCAAAAGCTATGGATCAGCATAATGAGTTTTCATTCTGCTTGGTCCACTAATGAGTGTTCCACATTTGTGTGGGGGTTTTGAGCTAAAATAGCCATCCTGAAAATTATTTGGTGCAGTTCACAACCCTGCCCTTCTTAGGACCCTGAACCTGTGTAGTTCCCCAACTATACACCAGTGAAGATATGCAGACTATTTTGGAGGGGGCTATTTCAAGGTTACCTAGTCATCCACAACCCAATTATGTCATTCAAATCCCACCATTTCACGGACTGTATGGTAATCAAGACCAAGAAAAAGATAATTCCATTTGTTTATATCTGGCACTTGTTAGCATGTTTGCCAGATATAATGACCATCAGCTGGCTCTCAATCAATATTGTGCAAGTAATGATGACATTATCAAGCAGTGATGTAATGAAGAGCATATTTACGGAACAGAGAAATTGGGATGTCTTGAGCGGTCTTTTCCTCTTTAAAATATACCACTAGTGGTAGGCTTAGATTATCATTTCTGATGTTTGTTTCAATATTCTTAGTTGTGAATCATTATGTTTATGGCATTCCTGGTGGTGCCCCATAGCTGTATTTAAAAACCATTATGTTCCAAATTTGTCTGGCTTCTGACATTTTTCCACTTTCACTCTGAATACTTGCATCATTAGGAGCTTAATGAATATGGCATAACAGACTTCAGAAAGATGTGTGTTACACCAAACATGTACAATGTGACATAAACATCCTGGCAAAAATTCCAGGGCATGCACATGCTAAACCTGAGCATGCATAGTTCAGTGTATGCTCACCACAAATCTGGATTTTTTCCTCCATGAATTTTAGTGGACTGATGAAGAACTGACAACAAATGTTTGTAAGCTGAAAGGCACATCATATTGTTTGCAGGTGTATCTGTTCCGCTCTTGCATTGGGTAGGGGTGTATTGCAATACCTTGGCCAGTTCATTATGCATGTATTGTTGTGTTTGAGTGGATCGGACGCAAGTGGTGGTGTATGTAAGTTGTGTTTGGATGAATGCTGTCAGTAATGTGATGTAAGTGGAAAGTGTCATATTGTTATAGGTATGTAAGGCATAACTTATGCAGGTGCCAGTGTGCATGGATTTACTGTGCATTTTAAACAAGGAGAGATAACTTACATTAATTTTGTGGTTTGTATGATACCTTGGTGTCATAGGGTTTCTAGTTTGGGAACAAAGCCTTGAAATGTCTCCAAAATCAACATGGATGAAATTCCTACAAGAATGCATGGAACACTGATTGCTTGATGACACAGCCACTGTTTTGGTTGTTGCCTCAATCTGTGTGGTATATTATCGGTTAACTCTGAACTACGCCCACAGCTGCGACCATTCCCACCAGGTCGCCGGCCGCCATGGCCAGCCAGCAGTACTGTCTGCGATGGAACGACTTTCAGTCCAACATGGTGTCCTCCTTCAAGCACCTGCGGACCGAGAAGAACTTTCTGGACGTGACGCTGGCCTGCGACGGCCAGACGTGCAAGGCGCACAAGATGGTGCTTTCGGCTTGCTCGCCCTTCTTCAAGACGCTTCTCGAGGTGAATCGATCGGGAGACGACGGACCGTCCCGCGGTGTTCTCAATGGGCCGCTGCCTCTACCATCGCTGGGCGCAGTGTGACGTCAGCAGGCAGCGCGCTTTAAAACTCCAGTAGACAACAACCACGGCCGACGGCGGCGGGATCGGGCGCGGCGCAAAGCCCTGACGAGCCCTTTGTGTTTTGGTGTGCTGCGGCTTACATATATAGAGAGAGAGAAATGGCCGTTGGTAGCTGTGCGCCGTGCTACCAACTGCCGCACATAGCTGCTGGGTATAAGCCGACAGTTTGCTGTTGCGGAGCTGGTGAGGGCAGCATAATCCTGGGGTGCATTTACGAATAGGAGCTATCATTTGGGTAGTTATGTTTGATTGGCATGAAAAACAACCGATTATGATGTAATAGCGTGCAACAAATTGCAAAAGGGTACAGTGTAAAAAAATTTCGCTGTTCTGGTCGTCTGTTTCCATCACACAGTCATCAGCTGGTACGGAAGATCATCCCAGTACCGTGCCTTTTCAACATTTGTAAAGGGCTGTCGACGTGTCTGTTATCAGCTATGGGCTGGTGCAAGTGGCGCCCAACTCTGTCGCTATTTTGGCGATACAAAGTCGCTATGGGCTGGCAAACTAACCGTCGTCCACCTTGAGCCCCCCCCCCCCCCTCGCTTCTCGACGCTAACGCTACAAAGGAAACTCGTGCCGACAGGTGTGCGACGACGTTATTTCCACTGTCAATACTTAAACGTGACATTAATGCTACACGACACAGCATGTACTACAAAAACTTAGACCTGTCATTACTTTGCTGCAACAAATTATACTGGCATTGCTTAGGCACAGCATAAGTTGTACTGCAAATGCTTAAACGTGGCATTAGTGCTACACGACAAAAGTTAAGTTTCAAAATGCATAATTGTCATGACTGTTACTGCAAAACCGTCTATGGTCTTTACGTATCCGCAACATTTCCTCTAATGCTGATGCCTGCCGCGGCGTGTCAACTGCGTGAACACCTAGCAGGGATGTAAGAACAATTCACAGGTTAGTGGGGAATCCCAGCTGGGCAATACAACAATTAAATGTTCATGGTGCTGATGCGAACATTTGTTTATTCGTTATGTCACGTGACTTTGTCGATTGTAATGCTTTGCGTATGAAGAAAAGCTGCAGTTTGAGTAGCAAAATCTTAAAGACGGGTATAACTTTTTGAGTAGAAGTAATGTTGTGTTTCAGTGAGCACCATGTCAGGAATGTAGTTCCGTTTTCTGTCGGTGACTCCACCTGCCCCTCATCTGTGATAGGATGGTGTGTCACATTTGGGGCAAACGCCGCGTTGAATGTATTTTGGAGTCAGTTTATCCGTATTTTTCCCAGCTTAGCCTCCAAACTTATTACCCAGCACTGCAGACAGTGCACCCAAGGTCCTTACGTGTACCAAACCTTTTTCAGTCGAAAATGTCGCGTAGAACTACTGCCGTCGTAGGTCTGTCCATCGCAATGTTTGCAGCAGGAATAACGTACCGACGTCATGGTGTGGGCACCAGTTTTGCGGTTTCACCCAGCCATGTGTTCCCATGTGGTCGTTCCCTCCAGGATTTTTATGAGTTATTGGGTTTTAAGGGCGCGTCAACTGCCTTGGTGATTTGCGAGGATTTTGGTGAGGCGTAATCTATGGGTCGGAGTATTGACGGTTGCGATTTGTGGACTATAGCCTGTGTGTTATTGCTCAAAAATCGCATTTACACGTTGGCCGGAGAAGTGAAATCCCTGATGAGTTAAGACCGTTTAAAATACTTTTACAGTGGACATAATAATACACATAGCCTTTTTAGATACAAGTCAAAAGAAGCGGGAGAAAATCTGGGAGAACTCTTCAAGTTTTGTTGTATAACACCGATGCCACCTATAACTCGTCCAGTTGAAGAAATGACGGGTATAAAAAGAGTAGGCCTTCGCTGTAGAAGTAATGGCTGGTATATGTGTTTTCAGGATGAGTTTTTTCGTATAGTATTCATGTCGTGAATTAGTTTTAGCAATATAAGTAATTTCGCGTGTACGTAAAGATTGTATAAGTTCTTGCTGTAGATGTAATGGTGTGCGTGAATTTTTGAAGCATAGATTATATCGTGAAGCACTCATATTGCGGATAAGACTGCAGCATAAGTAATGTCGCGTATCAGTTAAATCTGGATAAATTTTTGCAATAGAAGTAATGTCGCGTGTGACTGATGCAGTACTCCCGTCAGTAGGAGTTTTTGCCATAGTCCTAATATCGTGACATCCCCACACAGGGACACAAACGCGCGCGCACGCCCATAGGCACACGCGCACACGCCCATAGGCATACGCGCACGGTCCCTCCCCCCCCCCCCCCCCCCCCCCGGCTGATGCTTGTCTACCCAGCTAATGTGTGCCCACCCGGCTGATGCGTGTCCACCTGACGGATGGATGTCCACCCGGCTGATGCGTGTCCACCCGTCCGTCCCACAGGAGAACCCGTCGAAGCATCCCATCATCATCCTGAAGGATGTCCCTTTCGGCCACCTGCAGGCCATCCTCGAGTTCATGTACGCCGGCGAGGTGAACGTGGGCCAGGACCAGCTGCCCGCGCTCCTGCAGACCGCCGAGAAGCTCAAGGTCAAAGGCCTGATCGACGTCAACAAGATGTGAGCCGGCGGCGGTGGTGCGTCTCCCATCCGCTCTGCCGGCGGCCGGGGTCGCCCGGCGGTCGGCGCTCATCAGCGGCTGGCCTCGCGCTCAGTCGGCATGTCATCACCTCACGGCAACACCGACCGAGGCTCGCCCGCTCTGCCGCGGCATCGCGCGCGCTCGGTGCTTTTTTATTTTGTATGCACTCGTGATCGTCCCCTGGGGTACCGCAGGACGCTCAGCAGACGACGGTGAACGTGTGACGCGTGCTGGCCAGGGTGTCAGCGGTGATTTGATGGCGCGGTGTTACGTGAACAGGCGTTGTTAATACATTCGAAATGCCATGTCTTAGTCGCGGGGTAGCCATGGGATAGAATGCCTGGGTGACGAATCCTCGTGGGCGGTGGGCTGGCATCACCGGATGTCGAGCAGGACAGATTGCTGTAAAGTCGGTCCTGGTGCGCTCCTCGCAGCCCGTACTCGTCGTGATCGCTTCTCGTCGTCCTGCTACGGCTTCTACAGTTCGTGACGTTTCCTACTGGTGGCATATCTCCATTGGTGTCGCTTTTGTGTTATAAATGTAGGGCCCAGACAAACGCCACTTGGTATCGAGCAACGCTACTTCGATTCCTTTCCACACCACACACCAACAAGTAAATCATTTGAGCATGTGTTACCTTACGCCGCCTGATGTTGAATCGTAAGCTGTCGTTCGGTATTGAATGATCCGATGACGGGAATGGCAGATCTGCGCTAAAAGATCTGTCGTCCTAGGAATTTCCGCAGAACCCTTTGAATGATGTAACCTCGTCGAGGAGCGGACGCTGCTTGCTTCTATTTCAGGTGGCGTGGGTGTCTCGGTAGATATCGCTGTGGGTCTAGACCGCTGCCCTGTCGGGAAGCGGACGCTGCTTGCGTCTTTTTCAGGTGGCGTGGGTGTCTTGGTAGATGTCGCTGTGAGCCTAAGCTGCTGCTTACTCGAGAACCGGTCGCTGCTTGCTCCTGTAGCCGCGGCCAATCACGCACTTAATCACAGGATGTCATTATATCAAAGGCACGCTCCGTCCTCGCTGGCCGCCGAATCAGCAGTCCGCGCTCGCTTCGCCGCTCTCCCGCTCAGTGCCTCCACCCGGCGGTGCACGCGAGCACGAGTCGGCCGGCCACCCCCGACGCATAGGCAGCTGGCAACGCACCAGGCTGTGGGCGCCCACCCGCGTTACACCATCCCCGCTTTCATGGGACGCGCGTGGCGGTCCCAGCACAGCGACAGCCGCAGGGTACAGCACTCCGTCGCCTGGCTCAAGCCTGGCCGATATATTCCGGTCAGCCGGGGCAGTCGGACCAGCGGGAGACACCAACATGGACATGCAGCGCGTGAGCCGGGGCAGTCGGACCAGCGGGAGAAGCCAACATGGCCGTGCAGCGCGTGAGCCGGCGGTGGCTGCCTCGAACCACCTGGGGACCAGAATATTCGTTAGCGAGTGTCCCAAAGGGCACCGAAACGACCATCTGGTATAACTTTATCAGCAGCCCGGGCTCCATTCCGGACCAAACACCGAGCGGACGAGCCACATCCCAACTTGAACGATCAATGGCACCTCTGCTCAACACAGGCTCCGCTAGCTCAGACATCCCCGATGCGACCTCGTGTAGGTCAATGCTCAAAACTGGCCACCAGATGTCGCTTCACGGGGCGACTTATGGCCTAGTCATCAAGGGCAGCGACGGTGCTAGTACTACGGTCTTTTGACACGTCCGGCGAGTGTATGACGCTTTCATTTGCCACAGGATAACACCACGCGTAAGCATCAGCCATGGTGCAAAAAGAACTGACTGACGGTCAGATGGAAACACATGGTTCATTAAGGACCTCCACACCGAATACTCCCGCCACCTGACGTCTCACATTGCTATGCAGCACATAACACTTAACGAACGAACCTATCTAGATGAGCGACGTGAACGGAGCGGTGGTCACGTGAATGCTCGCAGCGCACTGCGATCAAAGTACAGCCTGAAACACTAAAGTGGACGCTCACCGCGCACAGCAGTTCACAGCACAATCTTAAACACTAATAAGTAAGCTGGTCGGGTGACCGCCGGTCACGCTCAGGCCGTTCCGACGCCACAGGAGGGGAGACCGATCGTCTCGGAGCCGCAGTCGGAGCTGCAATGGCAGCTGCTCCAGTACAGCCAGCTGCCTCGGTGCCGCAGTCGGAGCTGCCAATGGCAGCCGCTCCCAGCGTAGCCAGCTGCCTCGGATGCCGCAGTCGGAGCTGCCAATGGCAGCCGCTCCAGCGCAGTCAGCCGCCTCGGTGCTGCAGTCGGAGCTGCCAATAGCGGCCGCTCCAGCGCAGCCAGCTGCCTTGGAGCCGCAGTCGGAGCTGCCAATGGCAGCCGCTCCAGCGCAGTCAGCCGCCCCGGAGCCGCGGTCGGAGCTGCCAATAGCGGCCGCTCCAACGCAGCCAGCTGCCTCGGTGCCGCAGTAGGCTCACATGGCCGGTCAGTTTCCACGTCAGCACACATGTTGCCGTGAGCCGAGGGCATCGGCCGGTGCAGCTCGACCTGATTGCAGAATGGGTGTAAAAAACAGTCCCATTTCGCCGTCTCCCCCATTCTTCCCTCGTCGCGGCCGCGGGATGGGGAAGGGTCCGTGCTGCTGCCACGTTCTGTCGCGGCTGTGGAACGTGAGTGGGGTACGCTGCCCTCTGATGCGCGGAAACCTGCGGCTGCTGCTCAGAGCTCTGTTTTAGGGTGTAGCGTGGCTTCAGTCTGTTGTGGTGCACCAGTAACATTTCCCCATCCCTCAAACGGATCCGGTAGTAGTAGTAAGGTCACCGCGTATCGATACCACAACCGCAGGCTTCCAGGGGCAGACATGATACTCGTCCCTCCTTGCCCCTTTCTGAAAAAGAAACACTTTCGTTCGTACAATTCCTTGTTTCGAGCACGACACGCGTCTGACATGCAAAGCGCTTCCCGGCACGCGCCTCGCAACCCCGCGCAGAACTCATCAATGTTCGAGAAAACAGATAGAGATTTCGGGACGCGGGGCTGTTGACCTCGTAGTCGATCGGCAAACGAGCGTTCCGACCGAATATCAAGAAAAGCGGACTGTACCCAACGACCTATGAACCTGAGAACGGTAGCCCAGCATGAGAAGGGGAACATGCTTATCCCACTCTGAATGGTTCTCAGAGAGGTACTTTACGAACATTTCAAGGATCGTCCTATTCATTTGCTCACAGCAGCTATTCCCTTGTGGATGAGAACCAGTTGTGTTCGCCTTTTTGACGCCTATTAGACGGCTTGTTGTAGTTGGCTATGACGGGCAGATCAGTGAAAATCGATTGGAACCGTTTCCCAGGGCTCAGAGGCGTCGAGCTCTCCGATCGATGTGTGCGCCGCGGAACGTGAGAGTTATGACCGCGGCACTTGCCACATCCCTGGCGAAACTGCTGCACCTCATCGGCCGCCGAGGGTCACTAAAAACGGAGTCGCACCTGAACCAGCATTTTCTCGGGTCCGAAATGTCCACCGCACGGCGCAGCATGCACGGAGGCCAATACACCGGGGACGAGACTGTCGGGAACCACGACCTGCAGCCGCTCGGGGTCGTTTGGATGACGCTTGTACGCACGGAACAACACTCCCTCCAGCAAGCGAAGCCACGGCCACTGACTGACGAAGCCACACCCGCACTCCGGGAGGCGCGTTGTGCCTCAGCCGTGCCAGGTCCGTAGCTACGCCACGTGTCCTCTCTGCGATGGCCTCATTTCCATGCTGACCAGTCTGGATGTAGCTCAAAGGCCAGTCCTGAGCCGAAACGTGTCGACATCTAGCCTCTGAGCCAGTCTGACGAGCTACATCGTTCGTCTCTGCGGGCCGTCTACTCAGCCCATCAGCAGCCGTGTTCTGAGCACCGGGCCGAAACACAGTGTCAAATTGAAAGCTACCAAGAATCTCCAGCCATCTGTCCAGCATCCCAGGAGGGGTCTGAAAATTCACAAGTCATTGAAGACTTTATGATCAGTCCGAAGCCTGAAGCATTTCCCACGTTAGTAGTGCGCGCACTGTCGCACACATGCGAGAAGTTCCTTTTTTGTCACAGACTATTTTTTCTGAGCCCTGGATAACCGCTGGCTACCATACGCAATCACACGGTTCTTTTCATCCTCCTCCTGCATCAGGACTGCACCAATGCTGTCGTTGTTCGCATCGCGGTCCAAGGTCAAGACACCTGCCTCTGGACAAAATTTCGAAAACCCCACCACCGGCGCCTCTGAGAGCGATTTTTCAGACTCAAAACGCGTGAGACGCCCTGCGGCTTCACAGACAAGATACGTCCTTCCGGGTCAGACTGACAGTGGAGCAGCAATTTCTGCACAGTTATGCACATACTTCCGGAAATAAAAAGCTAAACCCCAAAAGTTGGACAGTTTCTTGACCATCTGTGGCTCTGACTGGTGCCGAACTTTCTTCATCTGTTCTGGGTCGATAACCATCCCATCTCGGATACAGCATGACCCAAAAACTCTACCTGCTTTCGAAAGAGCCGACGCTTGGTAGGTTCAAAGTCAGAGCCGCCGCCCGAGCGCGCGACAGCACTGCGTCCAGCTCCGAGAGTGCCTCTGAAAACGTTGAATCGTGCACGATATCTTCGAAGAGGAAGTTGACAAAGGTTGACAAAGTTGACAATCCCAAACAAACTCTGGTGTAACGGAGGTTGCCAAAGGGGGCCTCCAGTGTAGCGGAGATTGCCGAAGGGGGCCATAATCGTAGTTGTATTGCGGTCTGCAGGGTATATTGAAATTTGATGGTAAGTGGAATCCATATATAGCACGGAAAACAAGGACGAGCCGCCAATGCCTCTGAATAATCATTAGTTCTGGGTATCGGGTAAGCGGGGAGGCGAGTGACTGAGCTGACTGCGCAAATCAGCGCACATTTTGTACTCCCTATTCTTTTTCTTCATCAAACAAATGGGCGAAGACCAGCCACCGCCGGCCTCCTCCAAAGTGCCCTGTTTCATAAGGTCATTAAGCTGGACCCGACCGGCCTCTTTCAGGCGGAACGGGATCCATCGAGGACTCTGTCCCACAGACGGATGATCGATCGCCCGCAACAATTGCATGAAGGATCGAAGTCGTGTGGCCAATGTGACCGTCAAATATACTCTCGTGTCTGCGCAGAGCAGAAAGCACCGCCTGACACTAGCCGCAGTCAAAGAGAATCCACTCAGGTCTACCATACTCTCAATATCTACCGAGGCAGGCTTGCTAGCAGGGTCTGGCAATGCATCTTCCACGAATCTCACCCCTGACCCTGCCATGTGGGAATGTTCGGGAATATTGATGAGTTCTGTAGGGGCATTCCTGAATACTGCCGGTGTTGAAGAGCCAGACACACTAGCAATTGATCGGACGACCTCGATTCCGGGTCACTCGAGGGACGGCTCCACCGTGGCTGAACCATGATAAGCTCAGTTGTGAACAAATCCCACAGCTAAAGTCTCTGATCCGGACGCCAACAAAAAACCTCTGCCCACGACAGTGCGGCCTGCAGATGTCACCTCAGCTGGCACGGCACGAAGACACGCGCTTGGGGCTAGTACCAAAAGTTTACGGAACAGGTCGAAAACGCACGGCACCGCCTGTAGGAGATCCAGCCCGAGCAAACACGGCACATCTGTGGAATCAGACACACACAGAGACACTTGTGTTTGACCGCCCACGTGGAGCGGCACAGTGACTCCGCCCAACAACGGCAGCGGATCGAGAGTCGCCGTCCTGGCACGTATGGACGTCTGGTGCAACTTAACATGCGGCACTGCATCCTGAACAAAATTGTGCAACGCACTTATCGTGGAGCCGGTGTCCAACAAACAGCGGCACGATGTCTCAGATATATCAGCAGAGAAGATCCAGTTATCGCTAAGAGGAACACCGCCAGATATCGGAGAGCGGGCCCAACGGCCTTCCGGTGAGGCGGGCTCACCCGCCGCATCAGGAGGCTGCATGCCTGCCGACCCTCTCGTCATTGTTACACTCGGCCGTTCGGACCTCGTCCCGCACGTGGGTGTGGCACAGGATCCTCTCGTACGTTTCCTCGCACAGCCACGTTATCGCGCCGACGACGTATGTCTCCTCTGATCACATCGGAAACAGACGCTGCGCCGGTGACGACAGTTGGCAACCAGGTGTGCAAGCCTGCCACATCCGAAGCAGGCGCGCTCCGGAAGATCCCTCTCCCCCTCCCTCCAGCACGTCGCTAAGACGTTTCGTCGACAGCCGCATCACGCGCAGGGTCATTGGGCTTCAGTCGAGTAGGACCAGACACAACACACCGCTTCAGTTGGTCCACACGGGCCATGATTTGGTCAAGCATGGACGGCTCGACCGAAGCCACCTGACGCACGTCACTTGAGCGGATTTGTTCAGCCCGCAATACGTTGCGGGCCCCGCCAACGGCGTCTGCAAACGTGGTCACGCCTTCCGATTCAATGTTCACCTGGTTGTCTTGTGGCAAAGTGGCCAGGAAGCAGCTAAAGAGTACAATATCACTGTCACTGCCCGGAAAAGTCTCGTAAACGAGCTTCCGAAATCGAATCAGAAAACATCCAAAGATTTCTGTGGATCAAATCAGAGCTCTCGGAGCCCGCCATGGACGTTCACAGCACTAGGTCTGGCGAAAAAATCGCGGAGACCGGACATGGCCTGGCTGTACGAAGTCCGCAGGGCTGGATACATGGAATCGTACGCGTCCCGGGCCGCTCCCGTGAGACAAAGTGGCAGGAAGCGCAGGTGGATGCCATCAAATGTGTGAAGGGAGAAGAAAGTGTCCAGATCAGACACAAATCTGGCAGACGAAACGTGCCCAGAAAGTTTAGGGGCGGCCACCGAAAGCTGACCAACTGGAGCAGCCACATGAGGTACGGTCGGGATCTGTTCGCCCTTCATATACGGCTGCTCCTTCTGGCCAGTCATGGTGCGCACCTACGTAGATACGTAAATCTACTCCTGCCAGGCGATGACAGACAAAAAGAAATCGCATCAAATTAAACAAACGCTACTAAGCTACTTCACTTTCAATGCGGGAGGATGAGCAACAGGACAGTAGCGGACGACCCGGCGCAGCGGCGATTCGAGCAGACACCCAAGCGCAGCAGTGTCCGATGATGATCCAATGCATCACCACCGGTCACGATTCAACGCAGGAGCACCGGCAGACGAGCTGGAGCAGCCGAGCTGGCAGACGGTCAGCGCAGCAGAGCCGGCAGACGAGCCGGCGTAGCAGCGCCGGCATCGCTCCAGCGCCACAGCGCCGCACCAGCAGGCGATCCAGCGGGGCAGCGTCAGTAAGCGTCGTAACGTGGTGGCGCGACTAGCGAAATCAGTAGCGGATTGGTAGAACCTACAGGCAACTAGTAACGCCAGCAAACGACTGGCTGGCCATCCTTGCGCAGAGGTCTGGCAGGTGATGAGAGTAACGACGGGTGACTGCCATATAAAACTTACCGCCCTCACCTCAACCAGTGGCGTGAAGAACCGCTGCCACCAAAGGTAGACGTGGCCAATCACACCCTAACTCAAAGTGCCATTACGTTAGAGCCGTGCTCCGCCCGCGCTGGCCGCCCAAATCACAGCCTCCGTTCGCTCCGCCGCTCGTCCACTCGGCGCCACGACCCAGCGGTACCCGCGGGCACGAGCCGGCTAGCCACCCGCGGCACATAGACGGCCGGCTGTTTATGGCAACGCACCAGGCTGTGGCCGCCCGCCCACGCTACACCTCTATTACAGATGGCGTGGGTGTTTCGGTAGATGTCGCTGTGGGCCTAGGTCACCACCTTGGGCCTTCTGAGCAGGCCGAAGGTAACTGAAGGCACGCCAATGGTTAGGTGATATGAACACTGACCACGTTCCGTGTGATCATACCAAACGGTCTCCTCACTGAACAGGAATTTGTGGCACCCACAAACATTTGTGTACTGATGCCACATGCCGCTAGGGCCCTGCTTCAAGCCGCGTGTGGCGGACCGCTGGCCTGCCGAGACGGCGCATTGCGGCCTGCGGAGGGATGACGTCATCAATGTATCTACTATTCTGGTCACCTGTGGTACTCACATTCCGATTACCGTTGCGAGCGATGGAATATTCTATTAGGGGCTGCACTAGAGTAAAGTACCGGAGACCATCACGAAATCTGGTATTTGGTCGAAGTGAACTACGTCTAAACCACAAGTGTCGTTTTGCGCGTTGTTTGTTGATTGCGAGCGTATGTTGCCAGGCTTCAGTCAGCGAATATGTATACAGGCTGGCGAGGCACACATACACATACACATATACACACATATACACACATATACACAGGCTTTCGGTAACTATATCTTAGCAGAATGTTTTCCTTTATACATGTGCGGTGAAAAAAGACTGCTGATTCGGCGTGGACAAACTTTTAGATGCATCGTTCAAGTTCCGGGCTTTCGACTCGATTGACATTTATAATCGCAACAGAAATATCTCGAACTTTCTTATGAGAAACAGCCATGACAAACGCGACAACCTTAAATTCACCGATGTGGTATATCAATTCAAATGCAATCTCGAAGGCTGCTAACTTGTTTCATATACTGGATTGGCATAGCCAAGACGCTTACGCCGTCTGGCAATGCACTTACGCGACGGGCATCTCCGGAGCACATGCGAAGACAACATGACAGGACATTAACACGATAACTGACGGGCAACACTGACATTCTTCCGACGGGCAATGATAGACGACGCCTTCCAATGTGGGAAGTATATTCATCAACGAATTCTCTCCAGCCACAAATAAGCAAAACAAAAGTTGGCACGACCCCCGAGGTATTAGTTAGAATGTACAGTATATATATATATATATATATATATATATATATATATATATATATATATATATATATGTAATATTAACGATGCATTTCATGATACATCATGATTAATACATATAATATTGACGATACATCTATATATATATATCTATATCTATATCTATATCTATATCTATATCTATATCTATATCTATATATGTATATATATATATATATATATCTCTCTCTCTCTCTCTCTCTCTCTCTCTCTCCTCTCTCTCTCTCTCTCTCTCTCTCTCTCCTCTCTCCTCTCTCTCTCCCTCTCTCTCTCTCTCTCTCTCTCTCTCTCTCTCCCTTCCCCTCTCTTCCTGTATACAAATATGACGGCTTAGATGCTGATACGGCTTTCGGTAACGATTAGCCACCGCTACTCGTTATATAGGTGGTGCGGCAACTCGCCGTATGTAATACTCGTATGTAACTCGCAACAGCTATGCAAAACAGACCACCGATATCGAACTCATTTCCTGTCGGTCTGGCTGCATTTGGAAGCACAAACACACAACGTATAAAAGAGCGTCAATAAAGGTTGGCTGGGAAGCTACACGAAACTGCAGCGTAAGCAGTCGGTTTCCTGTATGCTTCCTGTACCGCAGAACTCAGTCTTACTGACACTCACTGCATGGTCTCATGTAGCACGAAAGGTTCTGTTGTTTTCTATTAAGAAGGCGGATTTGTCCACCGTGGCCGTTTATTTTACTTCCATTCCATGTAACGACACGACTGCCTCCTCCACGTAAAGCACGGGCCAGAAGACGAGCGGCGCTGGCCGTGCGCCAGCCGCTCGCCGGAGGTCGGCGAGCCATGCCATGCTCTGGCCGGACACCCCAACGCACGCGCTCCCGCCGGCCGGCACGAGCACCACGCACCCTCTGATGATATGAGAACAGGCGCGCGCACAGACAGCCAGACATGCAGCTGCTCTCAGGCCCAGCCGGTGCGGGTCACCAGCGCGCAGACTCGTAAACAACATTCTTAACGACTCATAACCTATGTGACGGCTTTGGCTTCTCGCTTCGCCAGCTGCCCACAACTCTAGGTACTTCAACATCAGACAGCGTCATAGTCCAGCAAGCAGCGTAAAATAAGAGAACAGCGGCTCCGCCCTTGTTAATCAAAATGTTCTCACGCCTGAATCGTCAACATGTACTAACCACAAGAAACTGATTCCGTGGACTGGTCAACAAAGAACTAGCGCAACAACGGGAGAAGAGCCCCGGCGCCGCAGTCCCAAAAGCTCATACCATCTGCACGGAATCAAAGCTGCCTGAAACAAAACTGCAGCGAAAACGAGACACCGTGGCTGACCCGGCGGTGCTGCCGTCACCCTTGGCCAGGCCAGCAGCCGGAGCTGCGCCGCTCCAGCGAGCCGCCGTGGGCGGTCCCACCGGCCGACACGGACCGCGCGCCCGGAGCCGTAGCGACCTGCGCGGACGCGCCTCGACTAGATGTATCACGAGCGGCGCCGGCGGCGGACACTGGCGGCGGCCGTCCGTGTCCGTCCCACCGCTGTCCGGCGGCCGCTCAGGCGCGCTCCTCGTGGAGGATCGTCCGCTCCTTGTAGTAGATCTCCTCCGACTCCTTGTCGCAGAGCAGCAGGATGACGCCGCCGAAGAGGAAGATGGCCGCGCCCCAGCCCACGCCGTAGCCCCAGCCGAACTCCCAGACAGTGCGGTTACCTGCGGTCAGCGACGGCGCACGGTGTCAGCAGGGACATACAGGCGCGTGACGTCAGGACAGGTCCATGATGCCAGGTCAGGTCCGTCCGTGGCGTCGGGACAGGTCCGTGATGCCAGGTCTGGTCCGTCCGTGGCGTCAGGACAGGTCCGTCCGTAGCGTCAGGACAGGTATGTGGCGTCAGACAGGTCCGTTGAGACAGGACTGGTCCGTAATGTCAGGACAGGTCCGTGGTGTCAGGACAGGTCCGTTGAGACAGGACCGGTCCGTAATGTCAGGACAGGTCTGTGGCGTCAGGACAGGTCCGTGATGCCAGGTCAGGTCCGTCCGTGATGTCAGGACAGGTCTGTGGCGTTCAGACAGGTCCGTTGAATCAGGACCGGTCCGTAATGTTAGGACAGGTCCGTGGTGTCAGGACAGGCGGTGGCGTCGGACAGGTCCGTTGAGTCAGGACCGGTCCGTAATGTCAGGACAGGCCCGTGGTGTCAGGACAGGCTCGTGGCGCCAGGACATGCCGTGGCGTCGGACAGGTCCGTGGCGTCGGACAGGTCCGCTGAGTCAAGACCGATCCGTAATGTCAGGACAGGTCCGTGGCGTCAGGACAGGCTCATGGCGTCAGGACAGGCCGTGGCGTCGGACAGGTCCGTTGAGTCAGGACAGGTCCATGGTGTCAGGAGAGATCCGTGGCGTCAGGACAGGCCGTGGCGTCAGGACAGGCCGTGGCGTCAGGGCAGGTCCATGAATTCCCACTAAAGCCATGTGTGCATCATGATCGATACAAGGACGGCAAGGCCCACGTAGTGTCACATGGAACGGAGAACAGAAATCAGTGGCCAGAATCGCCAACAGATGCGCATAACCGACTGAAGTGTTGGTCAACGACAAGAACAAAACCCGGTCATTTTTAACACCGCCTCGTCTCGGTTTGTAAATAGTGAAAGGTTTACTGCATTTTGGGTTCTTGTATTGGAAATAATCGACCTGAACATATCAGGAATAAGTGTTAAAAAGGTCGAGCAATCACTGAAACACATAATGACGATACTTAACGCTTCCAGCAGTGCACATGCCAAAGAAAGATGTAAGACAGCGCCCGATTCAGGCTAGGTAAACGAGCATCACTAGGGGCAGTTCCACGGACGCTTTCTGCAAAACAGTGCACTCAAAAATCAATGCTTAGTTTTGCCACTATTGTTTAGTGAGAGCAGCATGCCGTTTACGACACATCGTGACACAACTGTCTTCACAAACTTCAAGCACGAGCCCTTTACATCCGAGGTTCCAAGCCAGCATTCCGAGCTATCTATGCACGCGCAGCTGGCCTTCGTTAGATCACTAATAAAGCAAAACCATGCGAGTCACAGTGACGTTGATACGAAGGTAAGCGTGTGGGTCGCCAGACTTAGCGGTTTGTCAGCACAGGGACACAACCACCATTCGTTTTTTCGGGCAGATGTCCCACCACGCCCGTGAGGTCATAAACAAATAACATGAGCGACAGTGTCATCAACATAGCGCCAGCTAATGTGGTTGTTTGGGAAGCCAGACCGGTGAGAGAAACCATGTCCCTTTGTCGGAGGCTGACGCTTTCAGGTAAGCAACACAGCCATCCCGAACAAATACGTCTGCATGGACGCTGGACAAATAGACAGGGAGGCACTCACAATGTCAACAATCACATCAGCATATCGAAGGGGCAATCGGAGCACCTTTGCAAGCAACCACAATCACCACGACTAGAAGGAACTCATTGATTTGTAAACTAACAAGAAACTAACAGGGATGCGGACCCGCGAACGCACAGCAAACTAACGAGGAGGTAAACATCATCGAGTAGGTTAAAGAGGAGGCAGGTACGTAATCACATGTAGCTACATAATCACTTTGCCAACTCCTGTTGCTAAGTGGTTATGGACCACATAAAGCGGTAAACAGTATCAAAGCAAAAGCAAAACAAACTTAATGACTCGCACCACGCAGATGAAGTGCTTGTGTGCCGACACAGGCTTTTATCCACAATAGCACTGTAGCCGTCTACAGCTCCTCACGATGAGCAACAACAACAAAAAAAATACAGCCCAGAACAAGACATACGTAAACACAAGGTCGAAAAATAGACACCTCATTTTGGGATCATAACTGCCGAGTCCCTTCCAACGTTACACTACAATTGGGGTCACTGTGCATTTTGTACGACGCGAACTGTAACCTGATCTTTCGGGTGTTACGACATTAACGCTACGGCATAAACACATCTCGGCAATAGTGTTACATCAGTTATACATGACATTTCTTCCACCGCAAAAACTTTGCACTTGAGATTGTACTTGTGCGCGACATTACTTCTACCGCAAGAACGTATGCGCGACATGAGTGCTGCACGACAAAATGTGTGGAAAAAATTATGCCCGTCATCAACAATTCAGCAAAGACTCACAAAATCACAACTTTTACGCCACATTACTTATGCAAAAAATCCTACACGACGTGAGTGCTGCACGACAAAACTTACACTGCATTAACCTATACCAGACATTAATCATACAACAAAGACTTATACAGTCTTATCTTATACGCACATTTCTTCAGATGCAACGAGTACGAGCCATCAAAAGGTGTAGGTGACATCAGCGTTACACAGCAAAATTTGGAAAGTAATAAAAATTGATACAAAGTCAATGCCCGTCATTATGTCTACCGTAAAAACCTAAACGCCTTTAAATGTCAGCGATCTTACTTCTTCGGCCAATACTTATACGTGATATTTGTGCAATAAGATACATGGTACAGTCTACAACTTACAACCGGAGGTCCCCCATCCTTTAAGTTTAAGGCAATGCTCCACATTTGAATGCTTTTGACCAAACTTCTAGACGGAACGAACACATGAGAGCACATGACTGGGCGAAATCGCAAAACTGGTGCCCGCCCCACGACGTCGGCACGTTTTTGCTGCTGCAAACATCGCGATAAACAGACCTACGACGACAGTAGTTCCACGCGACCCTTTTCGACTGAAAAAGGTTTGGTACACTAAGGGTCTTGGGCGCGCTGTCGTAGTGCTGCAAAACAAGTTTGGGGGCTAAGCTGGGAAAAGCGTCCGAATCTGCTCCAAAATACATGAAACACGGCGTTTGCCCCGAATGTGACACACCATCCTATCACAGATGAGGGGCAGGTGGGGTCACCGACAGGATACGGAACTACCCTCCTAGCTTCGGGTTCAACGAAACGCGACATTACTTTTACTTAAAAAGCTATACCCGTCATTGAGATTTTACCACCAAAACTACAGCCGTTGCTCACACGCCAAGCATAACAAACGGGTAAAATCATGTAGCATTATAGGTAACAAACTTTTCGTACCAGCATCAGAGCACTAAAATTGTGGTATTGCACAATTGGAAGTTCCCCCCTAACCTATGAACTGTTCCTAAACCCACGCTAGGTGTCCACACGTTCTGCGCTCCATTGAAAGCATCGACAGTAGAAGTAATGTTGCGTAGAGGTAAAGACTGTACCAGTTTTTACATTAGTCATGAACATTCTACATCTCTTAGCATAAGTGTTGTGTGGTACAAATGTCGCGCATAAGTTTTTGCGCGAGAAGTTATGCCGTGTGCAAGCAACGGCTGTATAGGTTTTTGCAGAAGAAATGATGAAGGGTATAACTTTTTAAATTATAAGTTGCGTCGTGTTGCGCTAATGCCGCACATCGCTGTTTGCAGTGGAAGTTAAGTCGTGCACAAACCATGTCTGCATATGCTTTTGTTGTACGCATAATCACTGGCAACCAAAAATGAGTATAAATTTGATCGCGTAGCACTAATGTCGCGTGTAAGCTTTTGCAGTACAAGCAAACAAAGTTGTGTGTAAGTGATGCCCGTGTATGTTTTTGCAATAGAAATAACGACCAGTAGACATTTTGAAGCATAAGTTTTGTCGTGTGGCACGTATGTCGCGTATAAGTTTTTGCAACAAAGGACTGACAGGTATAAATTTTTGCGGTGTAAGTTTTGTTACGTACCACTTATGCCGTGTATAAGTATTGGCAGTAGTAGTCATGTCGCAACACTCCTGTCGGCGGTAGTTTTTGTTGTGGCACTAATGTCGTGGAACCGATCTTTCGGCCATGATCGTACCGCGCTCAAAGACACGCAGACTTTTTACACCTTACTAAGTGGACAATGCTGCAGGTCGGACAGACCCAGCCAAACTACCACGCCAGGTGCCTCGAGCACAACATCGTCACGATCACCGGACTGCCGCACCGGCCGTAGACAGACGCAGTCAGCCAGACGGACAGCATACAGTCACGAATACCGGACAGTCGCACTGGCGTCAGACAGACAGTCGGCGGTGAGACGCGAACATGGTCACAACGGCACGCCGAACCGACGGAGAGCGAGGCACGCACGCACAGTCACAACGGCACGCCGAAACGACGGAGAGGGAGGCACGCACACAGACACACACGCGCGCACGCACACGCACACGCACACTCACGCACACACACACACGCACGCACACGCACACGCACACGCACACGCACAGCCAGCGGGCGGCGCGCGCTGCCCCGCAGACCGGTCCCAGTCGCACCCCCGGGCCGGAGCGGAGAGGCCGCGCTTGCGGACCGCATGCCTCGGTCTCCCAGCCGGTCCGCCGCTGAGCAGCCCTGGTGCCAACTGGACCGGACACCGGCTGCACATCCACGGCGACGATGCCAGACCGACTCCAGCAGAACACACATCAGCTGGCCGTGGGGCGCTGGGGCAAAACAGTTCTGACAAGCGGGGCCCTCGGAACGGCCGCCCCAGAAGAGGATAGCGGGACAGAAGCGCGTCATGCAGAGGGGGCCGGGACGGCACACTACCTGCGTCCGGGGCACCCTGGCGGTAATCTGGGAAGGAGAAGATGCTCAGACCAACGCGCCGCGAGACCTGCACCGGCTCATGGGGGTGCCGTGTACTCAGAAGAGGAGCACCACAAAAGGGTAGGGTGTGTGTCGACCAGTCAGGGACAGGAGGTAGCTTCATGGGAAAGGTCACCCGTCTACGGTTCGGCTGTACGGGAGGGGAAAGGGGAGGGGCAGTACGGATTAAGAAGAGTGAGAAAGGTGGAATGGGAAGAGACTGGCCTCATGTCAGCGTGTCCAGTGCCTCCCAAACCTGACAAACGAGTGAGCAGAAACACTTAGCGCTGAGCGGCTGTGGTCCAGTATGAGCTGAACATCGCAGACAGTCAACTTCCTATGCCTTTCTACCTTCCTCTAGCTAATTGTCGATGGAGGTCGACAGTAACTTCGAAGCAGAGCTGGAGATGCAAGGAAACTACGTTCATAGACACCGAGGTAAACTGCGAGGGCTTCGTGTGCCCTCTTAATTATATCACAAGAATAGGTGCCGATAAAGGACCAACTTACTACAACAGGTAAGCAGTTTGCGTGACATATTACCATCTAGCTTCTGCGCTCCTTGCTGCAGAAGATAGATGTTTCAAAAAATAAATTCGTGAATTCCTAGCACAGAGCAAAACATTTCTCGCCAGTACTATCCTGTCCCTTGGACTTGGATCGTATGCAAACCGAAGAAATGTTCCATACGTCGACGAGAATGCACAATAAAAACGCCCGGGGAACCGCACTGAGGGAGCGCTAACTCGGCACGGCCCAGCCCGGGGGACCGCTCTGAGGAGGCGCTAAATCGACACGGCCCAGCCAGCTGAGCTGTAATTGTACGGCTATCACGAGACATGGTGTACCGCAGCTAGCTGGTGGGCACGCAGAAGAGTCCGCTGGCGCCTAGCCCGCCCCCGGACATGCGGCAGCTCCGCCCCATACTCACTCTCCTCCAGCTCCTGGGCGAAGCAGACCGGGTACACCACCAGCGCGATCAGGATCGAGATGACTGTGGACGGGGACACAGGAGGTCAGTGTGGGCCCGGGCCGGCAGCCAGGGGACATGCGGCCGGCGCTGGCACACACCGGTGGTCACGGGACACACGGGCCGCGTGGCTCCAGGTCAGCGGGCGGCGCAGACACACACCACCGGTCACGGGACACACGGGCCGCGTGGCTCCAGGTCAGAGGGGCGGCGCAGGCACACACCACCGGTCACGGGACACACGGGCCGCGGGGCTCCAGGTCAGCGGGCGGCGCAGACACACACCACCGGTCACGGAACACACGGGCCGCGTGGCTCCAGGTCAGAGGGCGGCGCAGACACACACCACCGGTCACGGGACACACGGGCCGCGTGGCTCCAGGTCAGCGGGCGGCGCTGGCACACACCGGTGGTCACGGGACACACGGGCCGTGTGGCTCCAGGTCAGCGGCCGGCGCTGGCACACACCACCGGTCACGGGACACACGGGCCGCGTGGCTCCAGGTCAGCGGCCAGCGCTGGCACACACCACCGGTCACGGGACACACGGGCCGCGTGGCTCCAGGTCAGCGGGCGGCGCAGGCCGTCACCTTGTGGTGAGCAGGATCTAGATCCCCATCCACCCATACCCACAGTTATAGGCACATCCACGCTCACACTCATACTCACACTAATATTTATACTCCTACTCATGCTCACACCCACTCACGCTCACGCCACACTACCTCCAACCCCAACAAAACAACATTATCAAATATATGGAGTTCTGGGACGAGTCCTCTGGGCTGCATATTTGCATTCCCGAGGTCCCAAGGCCATCAAATTTTGGAGAGAAAAAACTTTATGCACCCAAATAAAGTGCGTCGCGACATGAAACTCAACTTATATCCCGTGGGTTCGAATTGCGCAACAACCTGTTTTTGTTAATCGCTGCTACAACAGGCGTGACAAATCGCGAACTCACAATGAAAAAGATCCAAGCAGCGTGCAATGGTCAATATTATGGAATGAACTGTGGCAGGACCTGTGCTACCTATTCTTATCTGCATGGACTTGATAAAAAGCCTCGCAGGTGGTGCCATATTCTTAATTGCCCCAGTCCCGCTCGTTCGCATCGGTCCCCGTGTGAGTGGGGGTGGGAGCTGGGCCCTGTTTAGGTGCGGTGAGAGCTGACGCCGCCGCCTAGCCGACCTTGTGAGTGGGGGTGGGAGCTGGGCCCTGTTTAGGTGAGATGAGAGCTGACACCGCCGCCTAGCCGACCATGTGAGTGGGGTGAGAGCTGGGCCCTGTTTTAGGTGAGGAGGGAGCTGACGCCGCCCCCTAGCCGCCGATGTGAGTGGGGGTGAGAGCTGGGCCCTGTTTAGGTGAGGAGGGAGCTGACGCCGCCACCTAGCCGGCCGTGTGAGTGGGGGGTGAGAGCTGGGCCCTGTTTAGGTGAGGTGGGAGCTGACGCTGACGCCGCCGCCTAGCCGGCCGTGCAGCCCTGATGGGCCTGTCGGCGCCGCCCCTCGACCCTGTCGGCGCAGCGCCATCTCGCGAGACTCACTCGAGTCTCAGCTCTGGATCACCTGTTCGACCGAGCCAGCGACACCGGAGCGCGCGAGGGACAGACGGCAGCCCGGACCCGAGCGTGCACACGTGTGAACTGCGCGGACGGCGCGCCATCTGCGTGGGACACGCTCAGCTGGGGGACACCGGTGCTAATCGCGGTCCGTCGTCCGGTCAGGACCGTTTGGGGGTCACCGCTGCAATCTGGTCAACTGGCTCGGACCCCAGCAGCACTGCTCGGATGAATGAGATCAAACTGTGCGCGAACGTAGGCCAGCCAACGCCGGTCAATGGCTTTTCTCTCTCCAAATGTACACCTGATCCACGATAGGCGTGCATCGTACGGTGCTGGGTTACTTTCCTATGCATTCCTCAAACAACAACAAAAAATATCCGTCGCTTGGCTAGTTCTAAATGGATCTAAATCAGAACGTAAGGGAATAGCTGGCTATGTAAAAATATATATAATACAAATCCTTGGGATATTGACTGATTCCTGCAGTCACCACAATGAACCGCTTTAAAATATTGCTGAGCAATGGCAAAAAGACAGGAGCCGAAAAAGAAAAAGACGTGAAACCACTTCGGACCCATCATAAACCCAAGGATTTGTATTATATATATTTTTACATAGCCAGCTATTCCCTTACGTTCTGATTTAGATCCATTTAGAACTAGCCAAGCGACGGATATTTTTTGTTGTTGTTTGAGGAATGCATAGGAAAGTAACCCAGCACCGTACGATGCACGCCTATCGTGGATCAGGTGTACATTTGGAGAGAACCATCGAACCGTCGAGCTTTAAACTCTTCTGCGGACATGCGAAAAGAATCCTGGCAGAAATCGAGGCATTTTCTTCATCCCAGCTTGACAACCTAGAACGGCCGACCAAAAACACCGGCTGGCTTAGAGCAGAGCCGGATCAGAGAGACGTGCGCTCGTCGGATCACTGGGCGCGCCGCCCGCCCGGGCGGGAGCGAGCCCGCCGCCCGCCCGGGCGGGAGCGGGTCCGCCGCCCGTCCGGGCGGGAACGAGACCGCCGCCGGCCTGGGCGGGAGCGAGACCGCCGCGCGCCGGGCGGGAGCGAGCCCGCCGCCGGCCCGGGCGGGAGCGAGCCCGCCGCCGGCCTGGGCGGGAGCGAGCCCGCCGCCGGCCCGGGCGGGAGCGAGCCCGCCGCCCGCCCGGGCGGGAGCGGGTCCGCCGCCCGTCCGGGCGGGAACGAGACCGCCGCCGGCCTGGGCGGGAGCGAGACCGCCGCCAGCCCGGGCGGGAGCGAGCCCGCCGCCGGCCCGGGCGGGAGCGAGTCCGCCGCCGGCCTGGGCGGGAGCAAGCCCGCCGCCGGCCCGGGCGGGAGCGAGACCACCGCCGGCCGGGCGGGAGCGAGCCCGCCGCCGGCCCGGGCGGGAGGAGCGAGCCCGCCGCCGGCCTGGGCGGGAGCGAGCCCGCCGCCGGCCCGGGCGGGAGCGAGACCGCCGCCGGCCCGGGCGGGAGCGGGCCTGCCGCCGGCCCGGGCGGGAGCGAGACCGCCGCCGGCCCGGGCGGGAGCGAGCCCGCCGCCGGCCTGGGCGGGAGCGGGCCCGCCGCCGGCCTGGGCGGGAGCGAGCCCGCCGCCGGCCTGGGCGCTCGCCTTGTCCCTGGCACTGCGGACTGCAGGGGCGGACCCGCCGGGCCGGCCCGACAGCTGCCACCGGCGCCGAGGCCGGACGGCGGCGCGTCAGTCGCTTCCTTAGCTGTCCGTCTGCCCTCCTACCGGCTGCTGGGCTATTTAGAGACGGGGGCGCGGCGGCGTGCCTCCAGCGCCAAACTGACACGCGCCTTATGCGAGATCGAGCATCGAACTCGTCCCGGGAGCCGAGCTCCTCCCGGGCGCCGAGCTCCTCCCGGGAGCGAGCTCCTCCGGGCGCCGAGCTCCTCC